AGTAGGAGAGAACTTGGGCTACTCAGGCACACAGTCAACTTCAAAATCTTCCCAAACCCACACAACCAAAAGGCGCAAGGAAAGAACATTTGAGCACCATTGGGATTGAAAAATGAAAAAACTATCCACAAGTCCAAATGTCACCTAAATGGCTATATGTAAAAAGAAAAAACCATTATTTTTTTTCCAGCTTCAAAACAACCAACAAAATAATTACCCAAAAAAATTGAAGGATCTTTAAAGATTTGTTGCCACATCAATTGGTTGTATATGAGTGGTTTTCCCATTTTATTGTTATTCTTGTTTCCAAAGTATATACATTTCAAAATATATATATATCACATTTGACATGTCCTACAATAAGTAATATATTATGATTGGATTTGCAAAAAACCGTCACTTAAACGGAACAAAGAGGTGGAAACGGCTAATATAAAGGGAGTAAAATAGTGATAAATCCTAGATTATAAGGATTGAGACAATATATACATTTGAGACAATGGGTGCATTGATACACACTGATAAGTACTATAGAGAGACACATCTGATAACTCATCAAAAACCAGTCTCAGGATTACATAGAGTATACCTGTAGGCGTGCTATATCACACTTAGCTCCATCTGAGACAAATATATCACCTTCTTCAATACCAAGGCTACCATAAAATGCTGCAGCAATTGCAGCTCTTACTTTCTAAAAACATAAGCATTGTTAGTCATCTTTGCACATACAATAAAAATATAACAAAGGCAACGAGAAAATTAAGCAACATCGAAATATTCGGTCAATAATGTAGTTTTGGAGATGAGAGTGAAAAAAAAAAAAAAAAAAGGATCCATGAGATATGAGAGAGATGCAGAGAATTTATTAACTAAAAAGAAAAGTAATTAATCTGAATTGAAACATCTGCATAGATAGAAAGTCATGCATCTAATATAAAACAAAGAGAGTATTAAAATCATGTAATGCATGTTACACTTCACTAGACAAAACATATCAACTCCATTTGCGCTTACAGCTTTTAAAACCTATTATTTGCAATAATATCATCAAAAATCATGAAAGTCTCATAACCTTGAAGCTTTAGGGATATGAAAATTAAATGGGTGTAAAGTAAGAGAAAAGTCATAACACCAAAGTGGCCTCCAAGAAGAGAGATCTATGATCCATCCCTAGTCTCCCTAGATGTAGTTGCATTTGTACCATTTGTTTAGTCCTACCAACATCTTAAGCAACTAGGGCTAGTCAGCAACTCAGGTTCCTCAGCAAGAAGCTGATGATGCGCTGCCCTGAAGAATTGACACAAGGAAGGCATCCCAGCAAGCGATGAAGCATATCTGATAGGTGGCCTAGCAGGCTCATCAATGCAAGCAATAAATGCTTTGGTTTATGTGAACTTATATTGATCCATTTCCAAGTATACCAAATGTCAGACATGTCGAGATTAAAAATTCTCTCAAGACTGTCTTAGAATTAGACATGGCATTCATGAAACACACTCTCGACTTTATACATAATTTTGCATGTTTGCTTACATTAAGTCATACATATGCACACATTTTTACCATATATCACATATTATTCCCCTCACTTTCCTATAGCTTCACCTTAAAAACTAGTGGATCGAAAATAATTGAGGTCGTGGTCAAAATTGAAGTATTAAGTATTGATTTTTAAATTACATATCCATTGTGGAGATGGCATGTTTCTAACATGTCTGCTTAAGATATTTGGAAGAGTTGAAGCCATGCTTAATTTGGACCCCCAACATTCCACCTAATTACACCTACCCCACCTGCTAACATAGCTGAAAGTTCACACTACATGCTATCTCTCAAACTCCCTCACTTCTTTGTTCTCCCTCCTGCTCTTTTAGTCTACACCTAGAGAAAAGACCTATGTTAATTGGATACAGTAAAATTGGTCAAACAACCATGTTGACAAATTTCAGACCTCCAATTACAAGTCAGATGTATCTCTACAATATGATATACATATACGAGGGACAGGAAAGCATATAAATTTGAAAGTGGTAGTGTTGAATGGAATGAGAAGGAAACGATAATGGCTATATCAGCAACAATGGTGGCTGACTTTGAGAGAGGAAGATGACTCTCCCTCTTCCCCTCTCTCCCTATCTCTTGATTTCTTCTATCTGTTATCTCACTATGAGGCTGTTTAGTTTCTTTTGAATTTCCTTTCTTTACTATTATCTTCCTCTTTCCAACACTAAGGTTCAAATGTACAATCCTTTAGGATCAAAAAAATTCATCAATGGTGAATGGTTCACCTTTGAGTTAAGCCCTGCCATAAGACAATTTATTTACTCGTGTTTCTATCAAAACCCAAAATCCTCCACTTCTGTTTGTGGAGGAGAGATTACAAAATCACTAAAATCAAGGAGCACTTATAAACTACAACAGCCTAAGTCTACTAAATCGCCAAATAAGTTATCATATCTCACAAATTGTAGTTGCCGACTGTATATGCTCGCATTCTATCGTAACCATAATCATCACATAATTTCCATAAGAGCATCATGCTACAACTTCTTCTTGCCCCAAGCCCCCAACAAAAATACTTGTGAAATTTCCGCAATAAATGGGAAGAGCAGGACTTCCCACACAAAGTAGATAACCTATTTTCTTTATCATCTTTACACTTTCTCCTAAGGGTCATTTAGATCCTTCCGGTATTATCTTTACACTTTGTCCTATGGGCCATTAAGATTCTTTCTCTTTACTCTCGGTATTTCTTTAAATGTAAAGTTGTGTCAAAGGCCCTAGTCTTCACAAGGCCAGCTCCAACAAGAGCCTATAGGGTAGTGAAAGTTCAGTTACAGATTCCATGTAAATATCCAACATACTCATCATCTAAACAGCCTCAAGCATGATTTAGCATGCAAAATTAACATAGGGAACAAAGTCAACACATACCTTTTCACCTTGTTCAGCTCCATAACCGCTATAGCCTTCTAGTGTTGAAAGATCATGTGCTCGCTACAAGTTTCATACACACAAAAACCATGTGAACAAAGAGCAAAGATTTTAAAAATATATATATATAAAATGAAAGCAGGAGTTAATATAAATACAAGAGTGAAATCATAGATTGATAGGTAAGTAAAGTTGCAATAGTACAATATTCAAACATACAAAACAGTTTACCTTCGCCATAGCCGATGTAATGACATCAGGAATGGGCTCAGTCGTGTCACCAATTCCAAGGCTTATCACTTGAGCATCTGGATATTTGTCCAGGTGCACAGCTCTTCTTCGGGCAACCTGTTTTTTTACATGATCATGATCAAGTAATCATTTTGTGGACATTACTATGAGTACAATTTAGCGCAATGTATAAAATCAAAACGACATAGATATAAACATTTTTAAAAGAGAGAGACCTCAGGGAAGAGATAGCCGGCTTGTAGCTTAGCTATATTTGGATTTCGAGATACATTGTTTGTGTAAGCTGACATTCAAATAACAAATTCAAAATACAGAAATTGAAATAATCCTGACATAATCAAAGTTACAGAATCAAAGATATTCATACCAATATGTGGAGTTGCAACACATGTAACAAACCCAGGTTTTTTAACTCTAACACGAATTATCTGAGCAGGCCCGTTCCTGAGATAGGGCAGGAGGGGCGGCCGCGCTGAGCACAGGAAGGCGAGGTCTAATTCCATAGTTCAATCCTAACATTAAAGGGTTGTGCAATACATCAGCAACCAAATTTGATTCAATTATCAAACAAGGCTCGAAAAACCACATAATTTTAGGAATATGTGATTCAACTATCAAATGAGGCTCATAATTATGTTTTCTAGCAACATAATCACTGGTTATGATCTTTCATAATCTTAGAACTAACACCTCACATTTTCGAATCCTACACTTACTGCAGTGACAATTATATTAGATTACATCTAAGATGAACCCTAAATTGTGAAATTGATGCGATGATTACAAAAAGAAACAAAAACTTACCTCAGAAGCTGCTTCAATGGGGATACAATTATTAGAGGGCCTCGATGGAGAATGTGAAGTGCAATGTTGGGTGCACTTCAATGGAGAACTGAGAGAGACGTAGGTTCATCAGTTATTTTTATTATTTTTTTATTTTTTTTTACCTTTCCTTGCTTGAAATTAGGACCTAACTGAACTGATTGAGCTGACGTGAAGTGAAAATACAATAATTAATAGTTGGACACGAGACCAGCTACTTATTTATGAACCCTCTACGAAACGATGTTTTACATTGCTTAGACATGAGGGATGCGCGTGACATGACGTCAGCACATAGACGTCCTGCCAAATCAGGTATAAATACCTACTACCTCCGTTTCATAAAATCTGCAACAAAGGGAGATTTACATTTCCCAATGCAAAATTTGATAATTGTGTATTAGCAAAAGCAAGGGTAGGTGACTAATATTAGAGGAGAGAGAAAGTGGGACCAAAAACAAACCCCACTTGCAAAAACTGTCAGAATTCATTACACATTTTGGAGGGAGAATTCTCGTTGGAGAATTAAATTTGGCCTCCAAATTTAAATTTTTCAACTTTTTCCCAAAATTCAAAAGTTGCCTCTAACTTTTTTGTTTCCACCTAACTTATAAATATAGCACTTACTACACCACCATTTTAGTTCAAAAAATGTACAGAGCTTAATTTAATACAGCCTTCAAAAAACAGCCTTTAAAATGAATCATCCACCATCCTAATTTAATGTTAGTCAACACTTCAAGCTTTCAAAAAGTCAAGGCTTCAAGCTTCATCTCCTACAGCATCTGTTAGTGGTGGTGGTCCTCCTCCAGTATCAGCATCTGAATCAACAAAACAGAAAAAAAAAAAAAAAAAAAAAAAAAAAAAAAAAAACAAAAAACAAAAAACAAAAAAAAAACAAAACAAAACAAAACAAAAAAAAACAAAAAACAAAAACACAAAAATGGAAGAGTCTGGGTGATGATTATTTCAACTTAGATTAGATTTTAATGGAAGAAGGTCTCCTCCAACATGAGGAAAATCCAAATCAGAATGTGAATCAACAAAGTGACAGAACACAACTTACTCTTGCTGAAAAACGAGGTATTGTTGATGAAATTCTAACACAACTTAAGGAGGATGACACAATGCAACGTGGTATGCAAAGTAAGATAGCAGCAAAATTTGGGGTACACAAATCAACTGTTTGCAGGTTATTCAATGATGTAATCAAGCAAAAACAGAGAGGGGAGCTGATTGATGTCAGGAATAAAAAATTGGGCAAAGTTGGTCCCAAATTCAAGCACTACTCTGAAGAATTTCGCCAGTCATGGCCACTAAGGTTGAGAACCACAGAAAGAAGTTATGCAGGTTACTTAAAAATATGTCATGTAACAATACACAGGCTGAAGAAAAGGGGGTTGCTCAGAACACACACTAGTTGTTACCACCCAAGGCTGACTGACAACCACAAGATAGAAAGACTAAGATGGGTGTTGGCACACCTCAGCCTTGCCACACAAACAGAAGATCCAATGTACAATGACATGGACCATGTCATTCACATCGATGAAAAGTGGTTCTACATGAACCCAGAGACAAGAAGGTTTTACCTTCTGCCCAATGAGGAAAACCCCTATAGGTGTGAGCAGTCCAAAAGGTTTAAGATTAAGGCCATGTTCATGGCCATGGTAGGAAAGCCACAATACAACACAAATGGGCAAATGATCCATGATGGCAAGTATGGAATTTTTGGGTTTGTTCATGAGCAAAGGGCAAAAGAATCAAGCAAAAACAGACTAGCAGGAACTATGGAATTGAAAGCATTGCAATCTGTAACTAAGGATGTGATCAGAGAAATGTTGATCAACAAAGTCATACCAGCCATTGTAGAGAAATGGCCAGCACACTTGTCTAAGGAAGTTGTCCTTCAATGGGATAATGCTAGACCCCATAAAATTCCAACAGACCCTGAGTTTGTGGCAGCTTGTACACAAAATGGATTCAAAATCCAAATGGTGTACCAACCCCCACAATCTCCAGACCTAAATGTGCTGGATTTAGGGTTGTTCACATTTATGCAATCAATTCAATATCAGGCATTTCCCAAAAATGTGGAGGAGTTAGTTAAAGCTGTGGAAGATGCATGCAACACATTTGATCCAACATCAAACAAATTCACATGGGTCACATTACAGTCTTGTATGACTGAAATTCTAAAAAGGATGGGAGACAACAACTTTACTCCACCTCACATGAAAAAGCAAAGACTGGAAAAAATGGGAATTTTGCCAAAGAGGCTCACTATGAGCCCTAAGATTGTGGCACAAGCTGTAAACCACCTTAATGACAGGTTCAGACCAGTTAACCAGGGACAAGCAAAAGAAGAGGATCAAATGGAAGTAGATGCTGATTGAGCAGAACAGATAGTCAAGGTAGGGGGACTCAAAATTCTGTTCAATGTTTCTTTTTGGTTTATGTGTATATGAAAGTTTTTGGGCAGTCCTTAGGACCTACATATAAGGGTGGACTGCCACTCATAACCATCTTGTGATGTATGGGACTCAAAATTTATGGTTATGTGTTATTTTTGTGGGACTCTCTACTTTGTATGCATGTTATGGAATGCTTTTGTTAATCATGAAATGGAACTATGTTTTGCTTTTATTTATCACATATGCATAACTTCTTTTAGGTTCAAAAAAATAAAAAAGAATTCCATCAGAGGGTATGTTTTCTCATCACAACAACATTCAATTGTTTATTACCTCAACACTACTTGATTCTATAATGCATAGATCAAATAGTAGAGCAAATCAAACAACATATTGTTTGTCAAACGAGTCCCTTCATCATTTGGAATCTAGGGTGGTTGATGATCTCTCACTAAATGTCATCGAGATCTAAATGGGACTCAAAATTGGACATCAACCAACAACAGCAAATGATCTCTCCAAAATGGTCATTGAGATCAAGGGGGACTCATTTAAGGTATTCTCAAAACCAAAAATTACTTCATAAACCTATCATCATCCATCAATCAGCATCCCCATGACCAATATCCAACAACAGAACATTATATCCAACAATATCCAACAAAACATTATGCCCAAAAAACCATTATATCAAACAATCATAGTATCCAACAATATCTAAAAAATCATAGCATCTAACACAAATCAATAACCAAAACAATATCGAACTCAAATCAATATCCAAAATAATAACCAACACAACTCAATTTCCAAATCAATATCCAACAACATTATGTCCAACAACATTATATCTAAAACAATATCCAACAATATTATATCCAACAGCATAGTATCCAATAGAACATTATCCAACAACAAAGCCAACAGAGCAAGAAGCATGGGCAACCAAAGGGACTCAGAAAATTGGCCATAAACCATATAAATCGAACCAATTTCAAGGGATAATTCAACAATATATACACATGCATATAAGAAATGATAAAAAAAAGTTAAGGGTCAGAGAATTATACGAGTCTGAGTCACCCAGAAGGGTGGAATTTCCGATCCAGCCACTTGAGGAACTCGAGATACGTTGGATCATACTCATCCTCATCAACCTCAACCCCAGATCTCACCCTTTTGGCCCCAACCTTAGCATCTTCAGTGGGGAAATACATCTTCGATGGAGGATTAGACATGGTATACCCATACCACTCCTCTTCCTCTTCCTCTTCAGCTCCTCCTTCCACCTTCTCCTTCCCTTTTCCTCCTTCGTTCTTATCAGCTACAACCTCCTTCTTCTTTTCCTCTTCCTCTTCAGATCCACCTTCCACCTTCTCCTTCCCTTTTCCTCTATCATTTTTTTCAGCCTCAACCTCCTTGTTCTTTTTAGGAAGCTGTCATACAATTTTCTCTCTCTAACCGCAACTTTCTCTCTCTAGTTCCTCAGAAACCTCCATAAACATTCTCAGAATGCTTAGTAATCATGAATTTCATGCGTAATCATGGATATTAAAGAAGAAATTGGTGGAGCATTTCTGGAAATCAACGTAAAAAATCAAGGTGATTTTCAATTTTTGCAAATTTAAGCAACAAATTTACTCTAAAACGTGAATTATGTGCAATTGTACTCTAGATTTTGTTAATTCACCATTTTCTCTCTCTTATTATCAATTTCACTAACTACTACTTCGATTTTAGATGATTTATTTAGATTTTGGTACATTTTAAATTTTGGTTGGTTTATTTACATTTTTGTACATTTTGTGCAGAGGAGCACGGATTTTGTCTTCAATGCTTCAATAAAAGACAAAAAATGGGGAGATTAAAAGGCAGTAAGTAATTTCTTTCTTGATTTTATGTTTGGTTCAAGAATATTGAAACCCTAACTTTTAAAAAAAGAAAAAAAAATAGAGAGAGAAAAAAAATATCAATAGAACAACCAAGTAAGTTATATAATGTCATTTTGATATTAAAGAATGTTTAATTTAGTTTAAGAAAAAATCAGAGAAAATATTGATGTTCATTCTCATAGTTGATGATGTTCATTTTGGTTTGTGTTCATTCTTATAGTTGACAATGCTCTTTTTGGTTTAATGTTCATTCTCTTAGTTGATGATGTTATTTTTGGTTTGAGATGTTCCTTCTCATAGTTGATGATATTCTTTTTGTTTTGATGTTCATTCTCACAGTTCATGATGTTCATTTTGGTTTAAAATAAAAGCCGCATGCGCAATTACTTTTAATTAGTACAACTTGTTGATATGATGTTCAAAATAAAATGTTCATTTTCTTATAGTACCATTTTATTATAGTACGTTATTTGGTGTTGAATGATGCTCAATTACTTTTAGTACCTTGTTGATATGATGTTCAAAATAAAAATAGTTAATGTTCATTTTCTTGTGGTACCTTGTTTAGTGTTGAATGATGTGCTCAATTACTTTTGATACCTTGTTGATACGATGTTCAAAATAAAAATACTTGATATGATGCTCAATTACTTATAGTACCTTGCTTGGTGTTGAATGGCACCGTTTTGGAAATGTAGTAGGAGGTGTTTGTCCTTGGAGTTGGTGGAGGGGCACCATGCGTGAATAGGTCGTGGCAAATCTAGTTGGAAAATATTAAGAAAAAAACAATGTCAAACTAAATATTTGAGGTTGGGATTTGGTGGTGAATAATTTATGTAAAATTGTTTCAAATAATATGAAACGGAGGTAGTATATAAGTAAGGGAAAGGGTAATGATGCACATTACCTTTGGTATATATTTGGTATCTTTATGGAATGAAAACAAACAGAGGAGTAGTTATGATTGAGGAGGGAAACACGTTTTTTTTCCACTAGTTGGATAACAATTTGGGGGATTTGTTACCCTTTGGAAACGGTATTTGTTACTTGTAGCTAATACCAAACTAATAGAATTGAAAACACTTATTTGTCTACGTATCCTACATTACAAATTTTCATACCAACCGCCCCATAAGAGTTTAGTATTCCATATATGCTCCATGATACAAACTGACAAAATTTAGAACAATTTAAAACAACAATAAATATAGGCAAGAGTTTAGGGTAGTGAGATGATCTAACCTATTTCTCTCCCTATAATAGGGAATGTACATCCTCTTGTACATTCCACACACACCCCCTTCTAAATCGATTCCTCTTTTAATTTTGATGTAGCTATTTTCCCCACAATCAACACCCCAACTGTTTTCTACAATGCAATACTCTTTCGTATATCCAATCACATTCATGAAATTATCATAAAGAACTTTTTTCCAGCTCTCGCCTTCGTATATTCCCTATACAAATCCAAATTAAAATAAATTAGTATTTTATATATAAGTATGTTAGTGATATGAGATAATCCTATATTCCTAACAAATTAATAAGCTAAAATTAAAATAACAAGATTCAACAACGTAAAAACAATTACTTACACCAGGGTAATTGATTTGGGTATTTTATACCCGGCCAGGTGGCCCAATCAGAAAGCGCCACGTGTCCTCCGTATAGGTGCCATTTGGACCTATGGAATGATGACACGTGGAGGGTGGACTCTTCTCCGTCCTACGTGGACTGAAGGTCCAGCAGGGACCATTCAGGTGGCGACACGTGTCACTCAAAAAGTGCTTCAAAATCCTTTTGGGCACAGTGACACGTGTCACTCAGGCATTGGCCCTGGGATGGCGGCCTTCTAAGGCCCAAATCCCGAGGCGCCGCAAAACGGCGTGACTTAATTCCTAGGTCACCAGATCCTAGGAAGGCACACTTTTCAAAGGACCCTATAAATAGGGACATTATGTCATTTATGACAAGAGGAGAATTTTGACACGCAATACGAGACAATACGTCACTTATCACACTTTACCTGAGCTTGGAATCCAAGCAGATAACTTTACTTCCGCACGTTTTATTTCCGAACGTTTGCTGACTTAATCTTCGGAGGCGGACCCCCAACCATCCGGAGGTCCGTTTGCTTTGCAGGTACAGGCGTCCTCAGTTGAATCCAGTTTCAGTGTTGTAGCTCTCCCGAGGGACTAAAACCCCCGAAACATTTGGCGCCGTCTGTGGGGAGAGTACCTCTGAAATGGCTTCACAAGAACCTGTACCAAATCCGGAGGCCATTCGACCTCCAAATGATGTACTGGTCCAAACGGACCATGACTCAGGTGACGACGCTGATGTCGAAACCTATGTGGATCAAAATGGATCCCTCATCTCTAAACGCATCCGCAGTAAGGAACGGCGGGAGCTTCCCTATGTTCAGGCAGGACCAAGCAAAACTGCTGGTCAGCCAAAGAAGCCCTCGGGGCGGCCGGTTGATCCTTCCCAGGCGGCAAGATCTGCTCCTGTCACTCGGGATGAACTAATGACTCTCCTGAGCAGTCTCAGGGGAGAAATAAAAAAACTCGCCTCTAAGAAGTCGCCTGCCCCTATAAAGGAGCAGTCGGCCAAGAAGCCAGCCCAAGCTGGCAAACAAAAGTCGGTCAGGGACCGTCAGCCAACTCCTCATCCTGCCCCTAAGGAGAAGGCCCGGCCCCAATTTGATCTCACTCGGCTCCGTTTCCTAGAAACAAAAACAAGAAAGGCCATCCGGCATGTACAGCCGGATGGTAGCAAGAAAATGTTCTCTGACACTCGGCAATACATTGAGGAGAGGAGAACTCAGCTATCAGAGTCGGCTTCAACGTCGACTTATCATGATAGCTTTCGGAATACCTCTATAAGGTGTTCCCAGTCTGTACATGAGACCCCAGCAAGCAGCCAAAGGGTTCAGTCTGGGCCTCATGTGATTCAATCCGCCCAGTACATGGCACCGCCACTGTACCAGGCGCCAATAGTACCTTACATGCAGCCTACCCTCTACGGGGGACAGGCGGCATATGGCTATCAGCCGTTGGACTGGCAGCTTAGGCTGCAGCACCTTGGAGA